TATATATATATATATATATATATATATATATATAATGTCATCACAATGTCAGCACTGTATGTTTCCATACAATGGCGAAATTAGTCTCTGCATTTAACCCATCCACCACCAGGTGGTGCAGTGGGCAGCTATTGAAAGCGCCCGGGAGGCTTTTGGGCGCTTATACACAGAAGTTCTTCGATACTTCATGGTTCTATTTTCACAGACTCACTCTTACTCGGGTTTTCAAAGTACAATTGTACACGACACACGATTGGCGATGGGGAAAGACAAACCCCGTCCCTGCCCCTCCTTTCTCTTTCTGAGGCTGTCTGTCACAGCAGGGTAGAGACACGCAACAGGCTGTGACAGACAGCCTCAGAAAGAGAAAGGAGGGTGCGGGGGGTTCTGTCTTATAACTGGGTGAGCCGCACTCAGCCACTCTCTTTTTTTAACTGATTCACTCTTATTTTTCCACCAAAGCATTTTTTTTCCCGATATCGTACATTTCTTCATCTGATCTGTTCATTCCTGCTCCCTGAACAGTGGCAATGGGGAAAGGCAGACCCCACCCCCACCCTCTCTTTTCTCATTCTGAGACTGTCTGCCACATGTTTCTGCTCTGCTGTGACAGACAGCCTCAGAAAGAGAAAGGAGGGAGCGGAGTGGGGTCTGTCTTTCCCCATCGCCAATCGTGTGTCTTGTACAATCTTACGTTGAAAATCCATGAAAAAGTGAGTCTGTCAAAGTCAAACTGCAAAGTGTCGAGGGACCATCTAATAATAATAATGTGTATATATATATATATATATACATATATATATATATAGAGAGAGAGAGAGAGAGAGAGAGAGAGAGAGAGAGAGACTATACATTAAACGACACACGTTTAAATGTTTCATTTATCCTTTATTTATCCAGGTAGTCTCATTGAGCCATGAGAACTCATTTTCAAGAGAGACCTGTTTAGGGAGCAGATGGGGGGGTTAAGGGCCTTGCTCACGGGCCCAGGGTGGGGCGAATGAGGATGGGGGCAGGTGTGGGTGCTTCACCTACCCTGTCCACATTTTTTTTTTATGTTGTCGGTACCGGGGCTTGAACCGGCAATCTTCCGATCACAAGCCCACCTTCTCTAACCTCTGCACCACCACTCCCCCCATAAATGTGTTACTGTACGTGTTATCAAACCGTAAAAATTGAAATCATTATAGGATCAAGACAAGACTATTTTTCTCATCTAACATCCTGGAAGTGCCACCTTGCTGAGCCATAATTGATTTAAAGGATTTTATGGAATAATTTTCAATTGCAATTATTCTCAAATAACTACATGTTTTTATCCGGAAAGAAAAAATAACTTTTTTTTTTTTATGATGCAATTAGTCTTTTCATTGACATGTTAGTCACAAGCAGCTTTTTTTGGATTATGATTGCCATTAACCCTATTAACAATGTTGCATTTTTTAATTAATCTGTAAATAATTCATGTGTTGTAGGACATAAGGTACTCACAGATGTAGTAGTACTCTCTGCCTGGTCTGAATTCAAAGCCCAAGGAGAAGGGAGTGAAGAGCTGAAACTTCTCTGAAAACTTCAGCGGTCCGTTTGGGGAGTGCGGTCTGTTGCACTCCCAGCGCTTAAAGCCCTTGGCGGTGTGGTCGCATGTGCTGTAGCCATCGTAGTTGACCATGTAGAGGACATAGCGCTCTGTCCGCTCCTCAGGCACGGAGTCTTCATAATGAGGGCAGTAGACATCCAGGTAGTCATTTATGCACACGTCAATATGGTAGTCGCCACGATGGAACCTGGATGAATGAAAGAGGCAAGAAGGTTAATCTCCTACATGTTCTTAAAAGTTACATTAACATTTTTTTGTGTTTTGAATAATTACCAGTGCCTTCATTTATTACTTATAAAGGTTTATTTGGACTTAGAATCTACACAAAAAAACAGCATTTTGTGGAAATTCACAAGCACATTCATCCTCTCGTTGGAAAAAATGTGCATGAATTAATATTTTCCATAAATCTTCCCCTGCAACAGATATTTAACACATACTGACACATATTTCTGAAATAGTAGAAAACTGTTGTGTTTAGATTTGAGAAAGTACACTTAAAAAAAAAAAAAAAAAAGTTTTAAGCTTGTTTTACCAAGTAAAATAATATGTTTATTCTAGGAGTTCTCCACCAAAAAGTGTGAGCTTAAAGTAGAAATGGCCAGACGGATACAGGATTGCAGGATGGACGGACAGTAAATGTCACCATAGGAAACATACGGGACCTGGCTGTCTCTGAGGGCTGTGCAGTGAAGCATCTTTACAGCTGCAATGATCTAGAACAGGCTGCAGAGGGTCAATGGGCTGAAATCCATACAGGGATTTTTATCAAAGGCCACACACAGTCACCACATGCACACACACACTCACACACCTAGTTTCTTCACTGTTGCCCAACATATAAATGTCTCACATGTGAACATTTTCTAAAATTAGAAAGCAATTTCTGAGTTTTGATTTATAGTATGAGCTGAGCCTCTAAGTTTGGCAGAAGTTAACAATAAAAGAGTATAACAAAGTCCATGCTCAATAATCCAGGTATACAATCCAACATTTTTCAGTCAGGTCATCTGGACAGTTTCTTTTTTTGTGCTGAAACGTTTCGCCTTCCATCCAGAAGGCTTCATCAGTCAAGGAAACACACAACAAAACTGATTCTTCCCCCAACAGCTTACTCCAAAGTGGAACGTTTGTTCCAGTTATGTTAGTGCTAAGATGGTCACGCCCCTCCTCCATTGCCGGCCCTCTTCGTTGTTGACAGTTGTGTCAAACTGGTTGAAAACAACAAAGTCCATGTTCAATAATGTCCCACTCATCCAATCATGTTCCACTTTGGAGTAAGCTGTTGGGGGAAGAATCAGTTTTGTTGTGTGTTTCCTTGACTGACGAAGCCTTCTGGATCGAAGGCAAAACGTTTCAGCACAAAAAAAGAAACTGTCCAAATGTTTATTCCAAATGTTGGAATAAAAGAGTATGTTTTAGTTTTCTTAACTTGATCAGCATGACTCCAATGAAGCACAGTCAAAAAACAGCGAGGATGTCAACCATAAAGTTCCCAGATCTATAAAAACTGCTGATTATTGCTGCTCACTTTGTCCAAAGCCAAGAAAATCTATAACTGAGATCTGATCATTAGTGGTGATGAAAGACAATGTTGCCTGAGTTTTTTAAAATATACCTTTTTTTTTTTTAATCTGTCATTGTTTTTAACAAGAAAGGCACTTTGAGAATCTGAACACATAAAGGACAAAACATGAATGGAAAAATTAGTGCTGCACTAAAGACTAGAGTTGAAGAGCTGCAATTCTTCAGCAGCATGCAAACCTTTCTTCATCAAATGTTCAAGTCTTTGAAATGTTTAGCTAAATGAAAGGACAGCTTTGTTGAACGGTGGATAAAGGAGATTTGTATTAAATGTTTTGAACAGCTTTATATCCTGTAGAAAATCGATTCTGCGTTGTTATGGCCGTTGGTTTTGAGTGACACTGTGCAGTTGTAGATGATTTGCAGGCGCAGCTGCGCAGTAACCCATCAGATTGACTGGCCTCTCCTGACTCCTCCCAGCGGACGTCTTCCTGCATCCTGGTTGCTTCTTCACCTCCTGCTCCTCCAACCACAGAAGAGGTTTGCTGTTTAAGTCCAGCTCTCCTGCCAATCAGGGCAGCTGCGATGTGGTCTGAGCAGCTCCTGCTGTGTACAGGTGTCTTGGTTTAGTTTTATTCTGCAGGTCTAGTTGAAAAGTTTACAGCCAAGAGTTTGGTTTTGAGGTCTGTCTTTGTGTGTTCTTGTAGGTTTCTGTAGGCAGGCTCAGACGTCTTACTTATGAGAAGCCTTGTTTGAACTTTTGAATGATTTTGGATTAAGTTTCAAAGCTTTGCTTTTTGATTGTTTGTTTAAAACAGTTGTAGCATTTAATTGTCCTACTTAAGTTTGATACTCAAGGTTGTGTAATTTTGTAGAGTTTTGTAAAAAACAATTTAACAAAGTTGACTTTTCTTTGTTGGTAGATAACTTTAGTTAAAAGTTATATTTGTAAGTCATAACTGATGTTAATTAGTGCTTTAAAAAGTACCCTCTTTTTGTTCAGTTTGATAAATCTTAACTGCCTGGATAATAAATCGCATTTCATTTTTTAAACCTGTTTTCATCTGGGTTTTTAATGTTACCTTCCCGGCTGGTCTGGGTTGTAACGTGCATTATTACAAAAAATATTGTTTTTTTGTCCTTTATTTAGTTCTTCTACCAAGTTCGTTTTTCATTTCATGCTCTACATGTGTGTTGTTTCATTCAGCAAGAAGGTACAATTCTGTCACTAGAATTAATTTTCAACAATGCATGTGCACTGAATATGACTCTCCTGCTAAATTTTCTTCAACCTGCACTTTGACCAGTTTACACTAACTTCCCAAACGGGAAACAACATCATGGAAAACAAAATATATATATTTTTAGGAGAACAAAACTATAATAAAAATAGTTATAAAACAATCTAACAAGGTTGAGTCAGGTCCTCTGGACGGATTATTATTTGCTGAAACGTTTCGTCTTTTATCAAAAATTCTTCTTCTGTCTAAGTTTAAGTCTGAAGTATTTTGGATAAAAGATGAAATATTTCTGCAAAGAAGAATCAGACCAGAGGACCTGACTCAACCTTATTAGATGTATCTACCTGGATTACTGCGCATGCATCAGGACAGTTATAAAACAACTACACACTGACACAATACAAGATCATTTTCTGCGTTAATTGCCAGAAAATAACAACTAAACAAGCAAATACATGCAGATCCTGAAGTACACACCTTTCTAAATGGTTCAAATTTGCTTTAGTTTCCTTCAACAAGATCAGCTAATTTGATTCTAAGCTGTGAAACAAATTTTTTAAAACCCTAGAATGAGAAACTAAAAAAAACTGTGGTTCACTGTAGTCACTGGATGCATAGTGAAGGTGCAAGATGAAACATCTTCTATTAAAAATCCCAAGATATTTGTAATAGAAGCTGGTAAAACATAGACTCAATAACAGAGCCCTGAACAGTAACAGATAGAGGACTTAGTGGCCTAACTTTTTCATTACAGTACATGACAAGTTTCATTTTGTTGGTGCTAAAAACAAGATTTAAGTCACACAGACGGCATGAAACTAAACTGGATGTGAGCTGCAGCTCACTGAGAGCTGGAGGTGCAGAGAATCAAAATTCAAACAGGGCCTTTTGGGTTGGAGATCAAACAGCAGTTTGAGCAAAAATATGGTTTTGGCGCCTTTGTCACTTCAGCTGCATGTTTTCGTTAAATAATAAAATGTTTAATTGTAACACGCAAATAATTTAGCCAAGCCATTTTTTGTTAAGGTGACCATGTGAGTCCGTGGAGCTCTGTCCTGTATATTGATGTGCGTCTGTGTATCTGGGTGAGCATGAGCTAGCATGAAAAGTAGTTTTTCTGTGTTTACCCGTGTAAGGTAAATACCAGTGTAAGGATGTTTACAGCCGAGGCACGGGGGAGCTCATCTGTAACATTTCCTTTAAAACATGTCTGTGGAGGTCCAGGAAGAGTCTCACATCTCTTACTGCTTTAAAATGTCACTGATTTGATGGTCACATCCTCTCATCTGCTCGTACCGGCTTCTGTGCGTGCATATGTGCGTGTGTGTGTATGTGTGTCTTTGTGCAATGTTTAAGCTGCCCTTCTCTCCGTGCCTCAGCAGGCAGAATAGTGGCTTGTGGCCCTGACTGCAAATGAGCCAGAGGATGTTTGGGTGAGTGAGCTCATAAAAAGAGACAGGACAGGCATTTGTAACATGCCTCACAAACACACACACATTCATATACACATTTATGCAGCGAAAACGCATCGTGCACACACCTGACAAGCATACACACTCAGATATTGGGTTTGTCTTGTCAGCTGACCGAGCTCACTGGCACATAGGCAAAGGAGCAGCAGCGAGACAGACAGGGGCTGCTAATGGCACAGAGTGAGGAAGATAGTCAGGGTGAGAAACAGACAGTGGGAGACAAAAGAGGATCTGGTTCTGAAAGAGAAGACAAAATACAAAAAAAAGGCAAAACTAGTAACAACTGCAGATTTGATTACCAGACACCCAGAGAAAATATCTGCAGGTGTCATTTATCATTCAAAGAGATGTCACTCAAACTCTATGAACATGACATGACTTGTGTTTCGCCAAGTCCATTTAGAGCCTTATATTTTGTTGCACTGCCTTTATGTCCCCATAAAAACCTGTTATTACGGGCCTAATGTGGGAGTTTCAGGTGCAACTGATGTCTTGTTTGTAGATATGTTCGATATAATCGGCATAAACAAGCTGCGCTTTTTAGCACAGTGAGGAAAGTGTTCTTCACCACAATGTGGACATGTGTTTTCTAAACATACATGAGCCACTGTGTTCCATATACAAGCACTGAGACATTATGCACCAGCGAAAAGTAAATCCAGGCTTTCCAGAAATCCAGGAAAGACAGAGCAGTAATACTGAGGTCAACAGAAGAGAGAGTATGCAAAGATACGGGAGGATCAACTGAACCAAAGTATGTAAATGAAAGCTGCAGCACGTCCTCTGCAATGTGCAAGGCAGTAATGTGGTGTGGGGAGTCTTTAGAATATATTTTCCAATTTAGTTTCAACCTGTTACACTAAAAATAAAGCTCATAAAAAAACTAAGTATGCCAATTTATGTTTAAAACAAAATTAGACATTTAATGAAATATAATTATATGCCATAAA